TTTCCCCACATTCTAACCAACATTGTATATTATTTCATTTTTGTCAAGTTCAGTTAGTATTTTGTTTTAAATTTTTTTTTTTTTTTAATTTGGAGGAAGGTTAGTATTTTGTGTATGTGTTTATTCGCTATTTTTCCCCAGTCATTTGCCTTTCTAGTCTTTGGTCCACTTCTTATTTTGGCTGCCAGTATTTTTCTGTGATTTGAAAGAACTTGTACATATTAGAGAATTAGCAATCTTTCAATTATGCTGCAGATTGATATGATTGTTATGCTTGATTATATCTTTTGTTATGCAGAAGCTTTAAATTTTATAGAATCAACTTTGTCATCCTTATTTCTTGTGATATGTGGGTTTTGTGTCATGATTTGAAAGTCCTGTTTCAATCAAAGAACCTATGTATTCTTCTATTATTGTGGTGTGTGTGTTGTGTGTGTGTGTGTGTATGTATGTATGTATATATATATATATATATAGTTTCAAAATGCCATCTGCTTGGAATTATTTTAGTATTAGGTCTGAGGAATAAATTAAACCTTTTTGCTTTCAAGTGGCTGACTCCAGAATGTGTTTATGTATGGGAAATGTGGGGAGAGAAAAAAAGCAAGAGATGTTGTCTAACTTTTCAGCCTGATTTTTTTCCTCTTATGATTTTTATGTCAAAGAAAGCATTATAGAAAAAAATAAACTTAAAAACAGAAGTCACCTATCATACTATAATAAAATACAAATTATTTCTATTTTTATTGCTCTCTAGAAATTTCTTGCCATATTCTGACATTCATCAGTAGCAGTCTCTTACATTTTAAAGTTAGTATGTGCCTAACTTTAATGTGTCTATTGGCTTCAATACCTATGTAATGTTACTACAAATTAAAAATAAGCTCCTCTGAGTCTCAGTGTGCTTTTCTCTTTCCTTCTAGTTGTAGAATTTCCACTCAGCCAGCCTTTCTGTAGTTCTGGATGATGTCCGTTTTGTCTTTTTGTTGTATTTTTGAAGTTGTTGTGGGAGGCAGCAATTTCAGGTGTTTACCTATGCCGCCATCTTGGTTTCTCCCTGCCTTTCTAGTCTTTGGTCCACTTTTTATTTTGGCTGCCAGTATTTTTCTGTGATTTGAAAGAACTTGTACATATTAGAGAATTAGCAATCTTTCAATTATGCTGCAGATTGATATGATTGTTATGCTTGATTATATCTTTTGTTATGCAGAAGCTTTAAATTTTATAGAATCAACTTTGTCATCCTTATTTCTTGTGATATGTGGGTTTTGTGTCATGATTTGAAAGTCCTGTTTCAATCAAAGAACCTATGTATTCTTCTATTATTGTGTGTGTGTGTGTGTGTGTGTGTGTGTGTATGTATGTATGTATATATATATATATATATAGTTTCAAAATGCCATCTGCTTGGAATTATTTTAGTATTAGGTCTGAGGAATAAATTAAACCTTTTTGCTTTCAAGTGGCTGACTCCAGAATGTGTTTATGTATGGGAAATGTGGGGAGAGAAAAAAAGCAAGAGATGTTGTCCAACTTTTCAGCCTGATTTTTTTCCTCTTATGATTTTTATGTCAAAGAAAGCATTATAGAAAAAAATAAACTTAAAAACAGAAGTCACCTATCATACTATAATAAAATACAAATTATTTCTATTTTTATTGCTCTCTAGAAATTTCTTGCCATATTCTGACATTCATCAGTAGCAGTCTCTTACATTTTAAAGTTAGTATGTGCCTAACTTTAATGTGTCTATTGGCTTCAATACCTATGTAATGTTACTACAAATTAAAAATAAATTATAGCTACATTTTTTAAAGGACTTAGTTCCTTGAACTCATTCCTGAATCCTTTTAGTGGTCAAGAAAAGAACACTGTAAAATGTAAAATTTAAAAGAAATGACAGCTCTCATTTTACCCCTCTAGATTTTGGACTGGTTTGTACAGATATGTTTGGCCCTGAAACATGTACATGATAGAAAAATTCTTCATCGAGACATAAAATCACAGGTATGTTTATTGTGTTACTAGTAACTTCTGAATGGATATGGACATGGAACCAGCATTGTCTTGATCCAAAATTTTTGAACCCAATCCAATCTGGTCTATCTTGTGTTAGACCTCCTGCCTACTTCCTATATCTTTCTATATCTTGGTTTGCTTTCTCATTATAACAGAAAAATATTTTTAAAAATGCATGTGTGGAAGGCAATGACAATAAGATATAAATTTCTAGATTGGAAATTGTTTCCTTATAGAATTTTGAAGATATCGCTCACGTGTCACTTGACTTCTAGTTGCTGTTTAGGAATTTAAAGCCATCATTCTTATCCTTCTTTCTTCTCTCTGGAAGATTTAGGATATTCTCTCCATCCCTGTTATGAAATTTCAGTGTTACGCATGGATGAGGGTCAGCTTTTATTCATTATGCTGTGTAATTTATATAAATTATTTCTATTTTTATTGCTCTCTAGAAATTTCTTTCCATGTTTATTCTGACATTCAGTAGCAGTCTCTTACATTTTAAAGTTAATATGTGCCTAACTTTAATGTGTCTGTTGGCTTCAATACCTATGTAATGTTAGTTACTACAAATTAAAAATAAATTATAGCTACATTTTTTAAAGGACTTAGTTCCTTGAACTCATTCCTGAATCCTTTTAGTGGTCAAGAAAAGAACACTGTAAAATGTAAAATTTAAAAGAAATGACAGCTCTCATTTTACCCCTCTAGATTTTGGACTGGTTTGTACAGATATGTTTGGCCCTGAAACATGTACATGATAGAAAAATTCTTCATCGAGACATAAAATCACAGGTATGTTTATTGTGTTACTAGTAACTTCTGAATGGATATGGACATGGAACCAGCATTGTCTTGATCCAAAATTTTTGAACCCAATCCAATCTGGTCTATCTTGTGTTAGACCTCCTGCCTACTTCCTATATCTTTCTATATCTTGGTTTGCTTTCTCATTATAACAGAAAAATATTTTTAAAAATGCATGTGTGGAAGGCAATGACAATAAGATATAAATTTCTAGATTGGAAATTGTTTCCTTATAGAATTTTGAAGATATCGCTCACGTGTCACTTGACTTCTAGTTGCTGTTTAGGAATTTAAAGCCATCATTCTTATCCGTCTTTCTTCTCTCTGGAAGATTTTAGGATATTCTCTCCATCCGTGTTATGAAATTTCAGTGTTACGCATTGATGAGGTTCAGCTTTTATTCATTATGCTGTGTAATTTCGCTCTGAGAAAGTATATTTCTCAGGAAATGTTTTGGAAAATGTTTAGCTATATTTTTTCAAATATTATTTGTCTGTTACTATCTTCAAGGTTGTCTTCGGGATTTTTTTCTAGACATGGTAGAGCTTCTTAATCTATCCCTCCAAGTATCTTGTTTTCATATTTTATCTCTTTGTCTCTCTGTTCCATTTTATAGCTCAATTTCATCAACCTACCTTTTTAATTCTGTGTAAACTAGTGCTTATCTCATCTACTTTTTAAAAAAATATATTTTATTGATTTTTACAGAGAGGAAGGGAGAGGGATAGAGAATTAGAAACATTGATGAGAGAGAAACATCAATCAGCTGCCTCCTGCACACCTCATACTGGGGATGTGCCTGCAACCAAGGTACATGCTCTTGACCAGAACGGAACCTGGAACCCTCCAGTCCGCAGGCCTACGCTCTATCCACTGAGCCAAACCGGCCAGGGCTCATCTGCTTTTTAAAAAACTTTTTCATATTTATTGATTTGAGAAAGAGAGGAAGGGAGGGAGGGAGAGAGAGGGAGAGAGAGAGATTGATTTGTTGTTCCTCTTATTTATCCATTCATTGGTTGATTCTTGTATGTGCCCTGACTGAGGATTGAGCATGCAAACTTCACATATTGGGACAGTGCTCTACCCAACTGAGCTACCCTGCCAGGGCTCTCCTCTATCTTTTTAATAATAATTTTTCCTCTGCAAGCTTGAAAATGGAATTTCACATTCTGATTGGTTCTTATTTCATAATGTCTTGTTCTTTTTAAATGATATTTATCCCTTCATTTATCTCTGAAATTTCTAAACATTTTATTTTAAATTTTTTTGTTGGGACTGTTTTTTTAAATTAATTATATCTAGAGTGAATTTATGTTCTGATGATTTGGGGGGCTAGTTTTCTTTGCATTATATGTATGGCTTCATATGTATGGCTTGTCCCCACAGCTCACTCATCTTTGCATAGAGGTTCCATGGTTGTCTCACTTAAGCTCTCTCAGTTCTCAAAAAGGGGAGTACAGAGGAAGTTTGTTTCCTGTGTCAGGGCCGAGTGTCTGTCTTCTTACCTCAGGCCTGCAGCTTCTTTATAGCCGAATAGCCACAAGATGCATAGTGGGAAGAAGAGAAACTGTGGTGGAAGTTCACCTTTTCTGTCCCCCAACCCTTTGCCACCTAGTCCCATTTCATCCCATTTTACTCCATCCTTGTTAACCCCCGTTTGTGTCATCTTGGCTTTGAGCATGTGCCTGATTCAAGTCTCCTGACTGATAAAGATGGGTTTTTAGTTCATGTTATCCCACAAAATCTTGACTTCACTGTTTGATAGAGTATTGGAGTTCTGTATTTATAAATGTATTGGAGTTCTGTATTTATAAATGTATTGGAATTCTGTATTTATAAATGTATTGGAGTTCTTTATTTATAAATGCAAAATGATTGGGTAAATTACTGGAAATTTAAAAAAATTTTAATCTATTCCTACAGACTGTATTAACCCCCCCTTTTTTTTTTTTTTTAGATGATGCCCAGGGATCTGCACTTTTTAAAAAAAATTGGCATACAATATCCTATTAGTTTCAGGTGTACATTATAATGATTTGATATATACATTTCAAAAAGATCACAATAAGTCTAGTTAGCATCTGTCTCCATATAATAAATGCAAAATGGGTAAATTATTGGAAATTTTAAAAAGTTTTAATCTATTTCTACAGATTGTTTTACCTTTTTTTTTTGTTGGATGATACCCAGGGATCTGCACTTTTTTTAAAAAAAATTAACATACAATATCCTATTAGTTTCAGGTGTACATCATAATGATTTGATATATACATTTCAAAAAGATCTCAGTAAGTCTAGTTAGCATCTGTCACCATATAGTTATTAAAATATTACTATTTCCCTATGCTGTACATTACAACCCATGACTTACTTTATTACTGTAAGTTTGTATCTCTTAATCCACTTCACCTATTTTGCCTGCCCATCACCTCCCACCCCCCATTTTTGGAAAATTTTAAGATTAATTTGTTACATTTACTAGTAGGCTACTTAGAAGTTTTAGACAGTTGGCGAAGGGGGAGGTTGGGATTCAATTTTTAAAGCTCTAATGAGATACATTTTATATTCCATAAAATCTACCCACTTAAAGTGTATAGTTCAATGATTTTTAGTATATTCACGGAGTTGTGAAATCATCACCACTTTCTAATTTCTGAAGATTTTTTATCACTCCAAAAAGAAACTCTGTACCTGTTAGCAATCACTCCCTATCCCTGCTCCACGCAGATCTTGGAAACCACTAATCTACTTTCTGTCTCTATGGATTTGCTTATTGGGGACATATTATGTAAATGGATTCATATAATATGTACCTTTGCCTATTTTAAAATTGAGTTATTTGTCTTTTATTGTTGCTGTTGAATTGTAAACGTTTTTATTCTGGATACAAATTCCTTGTCAGATATAGGATTTGCAAATATTTTTTCCAATTCTGTGGGCTATCTCTTTTTTTGATGGTGTTCTTTGGTGCACAATAATTTTTAAAATTTTGATGAAATCCAGTTTCTATTTTTCTTTTTTGCTTCAGTTGGTGGTGTCATATCTAAGAAATTGTTGCCTAGCCCAGTGAAGATTTACTTCTGTATTTTCTTCTAGGAGTTATAGAGTTTTAATTCTTATATTAGGTCTAGAGTTAATTTTGAGTTAATTTTTGTATATAAGATAGGGGTGTACTTTCATTCTTTTGCATGTGGATGTCGAGTTAGCCTAGCATTTTTTAAACTCCACTTTTATGAAAAAAGTTGACTCAGAACTGAACTGTAATAATAATTCTGGGTTTTTTTTCTCACTTTTATAGAACATATTTTTAACCAAAGATGGGACAATACAACTTGGAGATTTTGGAATTGCTAGAGTTCTAAATAGGTAATATATCAGTTTTAAACTTGGTTTTGATATGTCTTTAGTGAAGTTTAAATTCATGGTGATGTATATGTGATAATTTATATCTTGGATACCTTAAGCTTCTCCAGTAATTCTTTTTTTGTTCTAGTACTGTAGAACTGGCTCGAACTTGCATAGGGACCCCGTACTACTTGTCACCTGAAATCTGTGAAAACAAACCTTACAATAATAAAAGGTATTTAAAATACTTACTATATTATGTATATTTCCTTTAACTATATCTATTATACTATATTTATTGGCCTTAAGAATATTCTAAAATCACTAATATACATATGTAAATATATATACACAGACTTTTAAAAATATATGATGAGGGGAATTGTAGAGAAGCTATTTCACTATCTTGCTAAAGGAACTATAGAAGAATCAGTTTATTATTGAAATGATATTTGGAAATAGAGGGCTTTCTTTGGTCTTTCTCTTTGTAATAGTAACTTCCTACTGAATTATAATAGTTAATATTTATTGGACATTTTCTCTATGAAGAGCACTATTTTGTATGCTTTCTATGATTAACTCTTAATCTTCACAGTAACCTTGTATATTGTATGTATTAATCATTCCTCCTTTCCTTATAAGGAATTCAAATGCAGAGCGATATAAAGTAACTTCAAAGTCCCAGGCATCTGGCTTCCAACCTCAAATTTTCTAATTACTGAGTTGTGCTGTGGTTACCAGACTGTAAATGTACTAGATGGAAAAAGAAATTCTGCCCCTGAATTCCAATTACCCTTTATTTTCTCTCTGTCTTTCCAATAGAAAAATAATAACCGAAAAGCATTGATGTTAATTTTGAAAGTGCTCATAGAAGCTAAAAGGTAAAAATCGATAGCTGGCAATAATACATCTATTATTGCTATCTGTCCTCCCTCTCCCCCATCTTTTTTTTGAGGATGAGGAGGAAGCTCTATTTCAAACTTGAGCATAGAGACTGAGAACATCATCCTACCAATGTATTTTTTAAATAAACTTTTGTTACAATAAGTCTAGTCCATTGAATATATTATTAGTGAATATTCTAAAGGATAACAGTATTTTCTTTGAACTAAAGTAATTTTACATTTTAATGTTATTTCGCTGTCCTGTGGATAAGTCAACTGTAAGAAACATCATTCTTTCAATTAAGAATGGATTTGCCCTAACCGGTTTGGCTCAGTGGATAGAGCGTTGGCCTGCGGACTGAAGGGTCCCAGGTTTGATTCCGGTCAAGGGTACAAACCCAGGTTGCGGGTTTGATCCCCAGTAGGAGGCATGCAGGAGGCAGCCGACCAGTGATTCTCTCTCATCATTGATGTTTCTAATCTCTCTCTCTTCCTCTCCTTTCCTCTCTGAAATCAATAAATCTAAGTAACAAAATAAACTGAACAGAGTGGATCCAGAGACATGGAAGCATGGCATAGAGTGTGGAATCTCAGAGGGAAAGCGGGGGTGGAGGGGTGGGCTGGAAGGGGGGAGAGAGGGGGCATATGTAATACTTTGAATAATAAAGAATTATTTTTTAAAAGGACAACAGCTAACACACACACGCACACAATATATTTTTAAAGAAAAGAAAAGAAGAGATCATATGTAAAGAAGATAGTGTAACTAAGTCTTTAATTAAGAGTAAAATAAATTAATATATTTACTCTTACCTAATGTTTCAGATGGCTCTCAGGTTTGAGATATAATTTTAGTAAATTAATATTTTCTTCATGTTTAAGTGATTCTCTCTCATCATTGATGTTTCTATCTCTCTCTCTCCCTCTCCTTTCCTCTCTGAAATCAGTAAATCTAAGTAACAAAATAAACTGATGAACAGAGTGGATCCAGAGACATGGAAGCATGGAATAGAGTGTGGAATCTCAGAGGGAAAGCGGGGGTGGAGGGGTGCGCTGGAAGGGGGGAGAAAAGGGGCATATGTAATACTTTGAACAATAAAAAATTATTTTTTAAAATGACAACAGCTAACACACACAAAATATATTTTTTAAAAAAAGAAAAGAGATCATATGTAAAGATGATAGTGTAACTAAGTCTTTAAGAGTAAAATAAATTAATATATTTACTCTTACCTAATGTTTCAGATGGCTCTCAGGTTTGAGATATAATTTTAGTAAATTAATATTTTCTTCATGTTTACTAAAGTAGTAAGTAGTGTTCTACTTTAATATTTTTAGAAGTCATGGTATTTTTAAAATAAATCTTTATTTTTGAAAGTATTATGTATGTTCCTTTTTTTCTCCCATTGCCCTCTCCTCCCCTCTCCCTCTCCAAGCCTTCACCACCCACTGTCTGTGTCCTTGGATTATGCATATACGCATATGAGTTCATTGGTTGATCTCTTCCCCCCCTCCACTCTCCCCTGCCTTCCCTCTGAGGTTTGACAGTCTGTTCGATGTTTCTATGTCTCTGGGTCTATTTTTGTTCATTAGTTTATGTTGGTCATTAGATTCCACGTATGAGTGAGATCTGGTTTATTTTGCTTAGCATCATGCTCTCTAGGTCCATCCATGCTGTTGCAAATGGTAAGAGTTCTTTCTTTTTTTACAGCTGCATAGTATTCCATTGTATAGATGTACCATATTGCAAATAGTTGAATAAAGCATTTGAATTGAAATAAAGTAACAATGGAATATTCATAACATTTACCAATTTTGTTTTTTTAAATACTAAATATCTCTAATCTGGTATAGCTGTTTTCATCATTTGGTTATGGTTGAAATTTTAAGTTTTAAAGGACATGTTTAATGGAACATATTTTTGCACAGCATTTTCATGCTGGTGTTTTCTTTAAGTGAAAAAAATTTTAAGTAAAATCTGAAACTTACAAAAAATATGTCATTCTTCTGTTTCCTAGTGACATTTGGGCTCTGGGATGTGTCCTTTATGAGTTGTGCACGCTTAAACATGCAGTAAGTACAAGTTTCTGAAATATTGTGTCAAAAAGTGACTAATATTTTTTAAAAAATTATATGCCATCTTTCAGATGACCCTTTTGTACTAGAAATTCTTCTTTGTCAGTTTTTAAACTTCTCAAATTCTCTTAAGTATAAATTTTAATTTATTTTCCCTTAATATGTTTGCATATATTACATACTTTATGTTATATATTTGGTCTTATAATACATATATCATACATTTTTCTGAAAAATTATTTCTAAAGACAGAAATAAATTTGCTGTACTTTTAAAGTTAAATTCATATATGAATTTGATATTTTAGCTTAGCAAATTATATTTGTTTCATTTTAGCAGTTTTTATCAAAATAACCACATTATTTGTGTTTGGAATTGAAATAATCTAGGGAACATTTTCAACATATTTATAAAGGGATTTTTAAATTAATTTAAATACCTTTTAATCCAGAGTTTTTAAAATTTTCTCTTTTGAGACTCTTTGACATGGCACATACCACACCAAAAAGGGGAAGTTCTTGTCCTAAATAGGTTGATTTTTAATCACTTTCCATTTCAGAATTTGTTTTTTAAAAATTCTTCCCCCATTGTTTAAACAGTAGAGTGTTTTCATTACAGAAAACTTAAAAGAAAATACATAAAAAATATAAAGAAGTGAATAAATACCAAAAGCAATTTTTTCAACCAGTAATGACTACTTGTAATATTTTATCATTTCCTTTTAGGTTTATTCTAGACTAATCTATAGAGTGAGTTTGTTTTGTTTTTCCCTGAAAAGTTTAGTTATGTTGTATAAGCAGTTTTATAGCCTGTTTTTATTTTTATTGATTTTTCACAGAGAGGAAGGGAGAGGGATAGAGAGTTAGAAACATCGATGAGAGAGAAACATCGACCAGCTGCCTCCTGCACATCTCCCACTGGGGATGTGCCCGCAACCCAGGTACATGCCCTTGACCGGAATCGAACCTGGGACCCCCCAGTCCGCAGGCCGACGCTCTATCCACTGAGCCAAACCGGCCCCGGCTGTATCAGCAGTTTTATAGCCTGTTTTTATTTCCTGATATTCTTTGAGTATTTTTCTTTGTTGTTTTTTTTTGTTTGTTTGCATACTCTCCTACTGTATTGCTTTGGTTTTGTTTTTGTTTCTTAAGGAAAAAATTAGAGACTGCCAAAGTGATATGGGATGGTCATTATTAGATCTGTATGTAGAAGAATGGGTTAGTTTTTCTGTGACAGTCATTTTAAGTCTAAATCAGAATATTTTTACATTTACCTGTTACCATTGCTTCATCTACATTTAACTGTCAACATTGCTTCTGTATTTTGGAATTGTTTACTCTTAAGTGGACACATGAAATTAAGTAATTCTCTTACCTTTATTTATGAAGAGTTTGTCAGTTGAGAGATAGATCAAAATTCATTGTAGTGAAGAGCTAGAGTAACAAGTCTTTTTGCATTTAGGATTTCTTATGTACATAAATACTTCTATACAATTGAATTGTATTCAAATTTTTAATCAACTGAAGGACATATTTTAAATGTGCTAAGAGAATTTAACATTTAACAGAACTATGTTATAATTGGCATAATCACCAGTGCCTAATTTATACCATGTTTTATATTCTATACTATTTTAGCCGAGATATCAAAGCTTAATTTTACTTACACTGCAAATGAAATCGTCTTAAGATTTTAAACTGCCCACTCTATTTTTTTAAATTTCAGTTAGAGTTTATATTGTGCTTAATATTAAAATGTATCATATTCCCATTGATATGACTTTGGAATATTTGCTGCATTGTTGATTCCATGGCTTTTGGGAACATAACACACTTAAAAATAATGAGCAGTGTTTAAAAGGAAACTAATTAGTACTTTATTATATTTCCCCAAAATATTTTAGTTCTATAATTGATGTCTTGTTTTAGTTACTACAATAGGAGCACAGGAAGGCAGGTCTTAAATGAAGACCACCAGGTTGGTTGGTTGGTTTTCATCTTTATTATTATTATGTTTTTATAAAATATTTAATTATTAATTATATTCCCATCTCTTAGTGTTTCCAATAACTAAAACTCTTTTTTTATTTTATTTTATTGATTTTTCACAGAGAGGAAGGGAGAGGGATAGAGAGTTAGAAACATCGATGAGAGAGAAACATGGATCAGCTAAGCAAGCCTCATGCTCACTTCAGTGCCTGGCTGCCGGCCGCCATCTTGGCTGACAGTTAATTTGCATCTACTCACTGATTAGCCAATGAAAAGGGTAGCGGTCGTACGCTAATTACCATGTTTCTCTTTTATTAGTGTAGATATCATACATTTTCTGAAAAATTATTTCTAAAGACAGAAATAAATTTGCTGTACTTTTAAAGTTAAATTCATATATGAATTTGATATTTTAGCTTAACAAATTGTATTTGTTTCATTTTAGCAGTTTTTATCAAAACAACCACATTATTTGTGTTTGGAATTGAAATCATCTAGGGAACATTATCAACATATTTATAAAGGGATTTTTAAATCAATTTAAATACCTTTTAATCCAGAGTTTTTAAAATTTTCTCTTTTGAGACTCTTTGACATGGCACATACCACACCAAAAAGGGGAAGTTCTTGTCCTAAATAGGTTGATTTTTAATCACTTTCCATTTCAGAATTTGTTTTTTAAAAATTCTTCCCCCATTGTTTAAACAGTAGAGTGTTTTCATTACAGAAAACTTAAAAGTGTTGTGGGGAGAGAAAACACAGAAGGATGGGGGGGGGGGGGGCGGGGAAGGGGAATGAAGTGCTTTTTCAAACAGTTCTGGGGCCACCTTTCTTTCCATTCCTGTGTAACTTCTCCTCCCTTTCTGCTTTTCAGTCAGTCTCTAGGAGGGAGCACATTCATTCTGTGTCTCCTCTTAACACTTAATCCTTAACTTCTGATCACCACATGTGTGGTTGTTTTCCCATACCAGCAATTCTGTGATACCAGCCGGTGTCCTACAATTCAGCTTAGTTCTGACACTACACCTGGAGATAGCTTCAGATCCCTCAGTCCCACAAGACTGCCCCTCTTAAGTTACTGCAAGTCCAGGTTGTCACTTGTGCTTCTGACCAATCAGAGGTTCCCACAACCCCTTCTTGGGTTCAATTAATCAGCTAGAGCAGCTCACAGAATGCAGAGAAACATTTACCAGTTTATTATAAAGGACATTAGAAGAGTACAGATGAATAGTCAGAGGAAGAAATATATAGGGTAAGGTTCATCAGGGTCAGAGTGCAGGAGCTTCTGTCTCTGTGGATCTGGGGTATACCACCCTCCTGGCATGTTCACCAACCTAGAAGTTCTCCAAACCAGTCCAAATTTGAATTTTTTATGGAGGTTTCATAACAGAGGCATGATTGATGAAATCATAGGCCCTTAGTGAGTGATTCGACCTCCAGCCCCGCTCTCCTGGAGGGGAGAGTGGGACTAAAAATCCAACCTTCTAATCACTTGGTGTGTTTCTCTGTCAACCAGCCTCCATCCTTAAAGTCACTTTTAAAAAAAATATATATTTTTATTGCTTTCAGAGAAAAGGGAGAAAGAGATAAAAACATCAATGATGAGAGGGAATCATTGATCGGCTGCCTCCTGTATGCCCCACACTGGGGATTAAGCCAGAAATCCAGGCATGTGCCCTGACTGGGAATCAAATCGTGACCTTCTGGTTCATAGGTTGATGCTCAATCATTGAGCTACACCAGCCAGGCCTTAAGGTCACTTTATTAACTAAAATTCAGGTGTGGTGAAGGGGACCTGTGATAAATAACAAAAGATACCATTGCACACTTTACAGTTAGGAAATTCTTAGCTTTTAGGAACTACTAGTATGTGCCAGGAACTGGATGAAGATCATCCTATATAATAAAAGCCTAATATGCTAAGTGTCTGGTCATCCAGTTGTCCGTTCAACCAATTAAAGCGTAATATGCTATTGCTATGCTAAGGCCTCTCAACCACTCACTATGACGTGCACTGACCACCAGAGGGCAGACAGTCAACCGGTCCACCAGTCGCTATGATGTGCACTGACCACCAGGGGGCAGACGTTCCGACTGGTAGGTTAGCTTGCTGCTAGGGTCCGGCCGATCAGGACTGAGCAAGACTGGCTGGACACGCCCTGGAGCCCTCCTATGGTCCCTCCCCAGCTGGCCAACCTCCGGTGTCCCTCCCTGGCCCTGATCGTGACCGGTGGGGTCCCTCAGCCTGGCCTTGCCCTCTGGCAATCCAGGACCCCTTGGGGGATGTCAGAGAGCCAGTTTTGGCCTGATCCTGCAGGCCAGGCCGAGGGACCCCACTGGTGCACGAATTTGTGCACTGGGCCTCGTGTGTGTGTGTGTGTGTGTGTGTGTGTGTGTGTGTGTGTGTATGTATTTTTAATCCTCATCCAAGGGTATTCTTTTAATGATTTTGGAGAGAGAGGGAGAGAGAAACATAGATCAGTTGTCTCTTGTATGCGCCCTGACTAGGGATCAAACCCATAACCTAGGTATGTGCCCTGACTGGGAATTGAACTTGTAGCCTTTTGGTGCACAGGACAACATTCCAACCACCTGGCCGGGTTGTATTTCTTATTATAAATCACAATAGAACAGAATCATTCCTCTGTCTCTTGGGTTTATTTTGTTTTCCAATTTTTTTTTACTGTGGTAAAATATACATAACATAAAATTTATTATCTTAACTATGTTTATATGCACAGTTCAGTGGTATTAAATATGTTCATAGTGCTGTGCAGCCATCATCACCATCTAGCACCATATCTCTTTTCCCCTGTAGAGCAAACTTTCTACCCATTAACCAATTATTCCCCATCTTTCAGTCACTAGTGCCTGGCAACAACATTTCTACTTGTTCATTGTTCTTTGGTCACATATGTATAATAGATTATTGATTTATATTTCCTGTAGTACTTGCATATAGGTGCATAATAAATATTTGTTAAGTTGAATTGAATTTTATTCTGACAGGACTTATAAAAATTTATAGCCAATCAGTTAGCATAAGTTATTAATATTAGTACGATTACCTGAAACTGGAATTATTCTACATTACATGTTTTGTGTGCTATTTGTCAATTTAAGTGATCACTATTAGCGCCAGGTTCCCCACGAACGTGCGTTGCTGTGTCGAGGGCTGACTTTCAATAGATCGCAGCGAGGGAGCTGCTCTGCTACGTACGAAACCCCGACCCAGAAGCAAGTCGTCTACGAATGGTTTAGCGGTGATCACTATTAAACTCTTCTGTAATTAGACATCTAGCAAAATCATAGTTTTATTACTTTTATATGCTTTTGAGAGGTGAGGGAAGTGTCATATATATATATTCTGGCTTAACAGAACATCACTGTGAACAAACACTCTTCAGAAAACAGATGTGGATTTATTACTACCAGGAGAACGCATTAGTAAGCAAGAAAGCCAATTAAAACTTGAAAGTTAAAATTGACTTGTATAGGATACAGAAACAGTCTCTGAAATGTGGGTGTCATTTATGAGACTCCTTTGTATCAATAACATTTTCAAGGGCAGTTTTATGATGCAATGTTTTTTTTTTTTTTTTTTTTTGGCAAGTACTAAAGAAGAAAGAATGACTTCATTTAATCTTGCTAAGGTTTCTTTCCCCCAATATCAGCAGTTAGGACATACAGTCTTAAGGCTGAAGCACTGGAATTCAAGTCGCCAGCAATAAAAGAAAATAGTCGACCCTGATTTATGTAGAACTTATAATATGGAAAGAAAAAAGGACAGATTGTATTATTAACAAACGGAGTATTTGACATTACCTGTTTAGTATATACTTAGCTCCCTGTTGCTATTTAAGCACCACTGAGATTTCATTCTTTATGAAAACTTTTATCTTTTGTTCTTCAGACTTATTTTCTGCTGTACAATTGTGTGTCGCTAACCACTGATGTATGTTCTGAGAAATGCATTGTTAAGGCAATTTTGTCATTGTGTGAACATCATTGAGTACACAAACGTAGGTTATATAACCTCCTGCACAACTAGGCTAAATGGTAATCACCGTCATATAAGCAGTCTGTTGTTGAGGGAAACAAAAACATTATGTGATACATGACTGTAATATCACTTGTTCAGTATTCTAGTGAGAAAGTATGTGATACATTTTTTAAGGCTTTAACTTTCAAACAAGTTATGAACTTTACTGCGACTTATGAACTATTATTTTCAGTATCACTACTTCTCAGTCTTGCACACTCTAGAAACTTCTTCCTCGGTGAGGCTTGACAAATCATGAATAAGCTCTGGTTCACTAGGTACTCCATTGAGTGCTGTCCATCACCTTCTGTGATGATGAAGTGTTTTGTATCTGCATTATCCGATTTTGTAGCCACTAGACATATGTGCTTATTGAGCATTTAAAATGTGACTGGTGTGACTAAGGAGCTGAATTTCAAATTACGTTTATTTAAAATTTTAATCCAAATAGCTACATATGGGTAGCAATTCTATTGGACAGCACAGCATAGTGATTCCAGAATCTTCTTGGAGTCTACATGTCCCATCTCTCAATTCATATTTGCATTCACACTGTGGAAAAGAAAGACTCAAATTCAAACAATGGAAGAAATTACCCAATAGGGAGCAGCCTGGAGTTGGTAAAGCACGTTCAGAAGTGGAGCCTGAGAATGTGCATACTTAATACTTTCCTGGTGATGCTGACTCTGCTGGTATGAGACTTTGAGAACTGCTTTAGGGGATCCTTGCTGGGAAAGACAACCTTCTCAGTTACAGCTTTTGCCTGTTGGAGCTTCAGGTCCACTGCCACTGCAGGAATATTTTATCCACCAACATTCATTTCTCTTGAAAAAATAATTAACTTGCTTCCCCACCCAGTAAGAAAAAAGAGCAGACTTAAATTGAATTAAATCTTTGTTGGTGTAATAGTTTGTACTTAAAGAGGGGAACAAATGTAGTAAGGGGGAGAAAATTATTTGCAGGCAATACTAATAATTTTTGCTTCCCAAAATACGTTCATAAAATATTCATAGAGTATTTTAGTAAATAGTAAAAAGAGACACTTGTTGCCCTGGCTGGTGTTGGATGTTGTTCAGTGGTTAGAGCGTCAGCCTGCACACCAAAAGGTTTCAGGTTTGATTCCCAGTCAAGGGCACGTACCTGGGTTGCAGGTTCAATAGGCAGCCATTCAGTGTGTGTCTCTCACATTGATGTTTCTTTCTCTCTTTTCCTTCCTCCCTCCCTCTCTTCCTCCCCCTCCCTCTCTTTCTTTACTCCTCTTCCTTCCTCCCTCCCTCTCTCCCTACTCTCTTCCACTTTCTCTAAAAATCAATGGGAAAAATATCCTCTGGCCCTAGCCAGTTTGGCTGAATGGATAGAGCGTTGGCCCGTGGACTGAAGGGTCCCAGGTTCAATTCTGGTCAAGGGCATGTACCTTGGTAGCAGGCTTGATCCCTGGCCCTGGTCAGGGCGTGTGCAGGAGGCAATCAATCGTCTCTCTTTCTCTTTCTCTCTCTCTCTCTCCCTCCCATTTTCTCTAAAAATCAATAGAAAAATATCCTTGGGTGAGGATTATAAAAATAAAAATAAATCAATAAGCCTCTGGCTTTAGGGGGAAAAAAGAAGAAGGAAAAAAAGAAAAAATATCCTCAAATGAGGATTAACAAAACGAGAGAGAGAGAGAGAGAGAGAGACACTTGTTAAATTTTGTTGGAATATTTAAATATTATCCAATAATGTTTACAGTTATATATTGATAAGAGTGAAAACATATTAGAGATGCTGAGAAGATTCAGAGTTAAGTTGAAATAACTGAGAGGTTAATCAGAGAAGGGGGTAATGAAGCTATCTATGCACAGTGGTCTAAGATGACTGCAAATCATTGGGCTGTAAGAAATGCCATCCATGGATGATATATTGAAAATACATCATCAGTTTGAAGTAAATAAGGGATATGGATACACATAGAATATAGAGGTTATTTCAAATAGGAGGTAGTTGTGTTAAATTGCTGATCTATAGAACAGCAAGCAGTGTGTGGGGGCCTTTGTGGTACATTAGGTTAATTTGGAAAGAAAGCTTGTTTGGAGAAATAAAAATAAATTGGTAAGTTTGGGAGGCAGTGAGCATAAGAGGAATTTGGTGAATGGGTTATGTGATTGAGGAAGGAAAAAATGCATTGTGATTAATGTATTTTTTTTTAAAGTTAAAATCTTTTCTTACTTACTTTCCCCCCTCTTTCAATCTAAGCTTATTGCAGAAGAATTTTGTCTAAAAACATTTTCCAAAGGTGGAGCGCAGCTTATACCAGGTAAATGAAATTTAATGAATCCTTTAACCTGTTTGCAATAATTAATATACTAATTATACTAAGTAGTAATATTCACTAATTATACTAGAGATATATGTAGACACAATAAATTGGTATAATTATAGATAAACTTAATCCAGATGAAATGCATATTTAACTTATGGTATGATAATATATAATACCTTCTGATTAATTAATCACAAAATTTTTATTTTTTTTGTCTGCTTTAGTTAAATGAAATCTGTGTTAGAAATAAATGTGGATATTAGATTTATTGGGGTGATCACTTTGTAAATTATATAAATGTCTAATCACCAGATTGTATACCTGAAACTAATATAATATTGTTCCTTGTACTGTAGCTAAAAATAAAATTTTTTTTTAAAGAATTAATAAAATGATAGTGGAGGAGGAAAAAATGAAGAGTCAGTTTATAACTTGGTATTCTGCTAGTACTGCACTGTCAGCCTCCTAGCTTTCTGAATGTGATACTCAGTATTAAGTCCAGTGTCCTGACATTATCACCACACTCAGGTATGACTTTCCGCTGAGTGTTTCTGTCAGTCCCTGTAAATGTAGGCCACTTCCGTCTGCCTTTGTCAGTGTGTGTGCAGCACCAGCTACGCACAGTGGTCTATGATGACTGCATATCATTGGGCTGTAAGAAATGCCATCCATGGATGATGTATTGAAAATTTCCAGGACATTGAGGGTGTTCCCAGGGTTTAAGAAATGCCTGTAGATAAGCAAATAAAGCCTGATCAATGCCTTGCTATATTTCATGACCAAAAACTGCTTTAAGACACTGTACTGAAACTGTTGTTGAGTTGGTTAATATGCATTAAATGCAGACTAATTATTATTTTTTTAAGCTTATTTTTATTGTTGACAGTATTACAGATGTCCCCTATTTTCCTCCCTGTTCCAGCCCCACCCCAGGCCTTGCCTACACTATTGTCTGTGTTCATGGGCTGTGCATATATGCACACAAGTTCTTTGGTGGAGTAGTTATTTTAATGACCACTTTAATGGTAGTTCTGTTTCTTCTTTGGTTGTCATTCGGTGATGGGTTTTCCATTCCATTAATAAGATAGAGTTTTTTTAAGGCAGCACATCCACACTGAGGGAAGCCTGCAGTGAGGCTGAGGAGCTCATGGTGTGATGCATCTGTACACAGGCCTTTTGTTAAGTTTCACTGTTCGTGGGAGTCTGGTCTAGATTCCACGGATGTAAAGTAAATATTTTAAATGAAAAATATAAAATATCAAGTGGCATCTGTTTTGAAATTTTTAGTCTTTATCAAATGCTTAGGTGATATTCTGAGAACATTGTCACAGAATGTTATTAAAATGTCTTAACTAAGTGCCTACCTCTTTATGTAAAATATTTTTCTTTGAGAAATACTTTATAACCTATAATTTAAAAAATAAATTAATGTGAAGTTAGGTACTTTATCAAGGATAATTTTTTTTAATGTGGCCATCAACAGTAGAATATTTGTAGCATTGTGGCTATGGTTTTTATACCATGTGTATGTATATGCATATATTTGTGTGAGAGGAAAAATATTTTTTTGCATATAGAATGACTTCAGAATGGATTTCTAAAATCAGTGGACATTATTTAAGATTTGAAGAGTATATTGTTTTTCTTTTTTTTGTAAATCCTCACCCAAGGATATTTTTTCTAGAGAGTGGAAGGGAGGGAGAGAGGGGGTGAAGGGAGAGAGAGAGAGAGAGAGAGAGAGAGAGAGAGAAAGAGAGAGAGAGAGAGAAAAACCCCATCAATGTGAGAAAGACACATTGATTGGTTGCCTGTACTCCTCTGACAGGGGCAGGTGAATCAAACCCAGGTACATGCCCTTGGCCAGGAATTGAACCCGTGTCCTGCAAAGACCAACTCTCTAACCCCTGAGCACCACCAGCCAGGGCGAGTACATTGTTGTTGTTTTTTTGAGTACATTGTTTTTCAAACAATGTTTTTCCTGTTTTACTTCATTTTGAGTGTGAGCAGATGAATAAAAATGAATGCATTATCCTGAAACTGGGTCCATATAAGCTGGAAGTGGTGTGGTGGTGCCCTCAGGAAGGCCAGCTATACTTAGCTCTCCTTAAAGACGCCTGACTCATCCTCTCAGTGTGCAGAGACTGTCAGTTCCTGGCAAGTCAATTCACTCTAAATAAAATTCACAAGGACAGACACGGCAAAATCAGCACATCTCTCTTGGCAGTCAAAGTCAAGCCTTATGAGAAGTCAAATCTTAATTAAAAGCCTCATTGTCACAAAGGCCGGAAATGCACCATGTCAGCACATTCTTTCCACATGGGTAAGCCTGCGTAGGAATTAGAAAGTTATTTTGTTGTAAGAGCAGTTGGATGGATGAACTGTTTAATAGCATGGGGCTAAAATAGGAGTTGTATTGCTGATGGGCCTGTAAATACTGGGTGGGCTCCAACTCCTTATAGTCCTTATCCTACTGGTAGCCTCGCATCTGAGTCTGAGAAATGCTCAAAGATCAGATAAGTAATTCTCTCTCTTCTCTAGAAAGTGAATGGGGACTATTCATATAGTTTCTTGGGACTCTTCATTTTTATGCTTTTCTGCCTCTGGCCCCTTTTCTGGCATACCCAGTATGTCTTGGGCGATGTTAAACCCCATCAATGTGAGAAAGACACATTGATTGGTTGCCTGTACTCCTCTGACAGGGGCAGGTGAATCAAACCCAGGTACATGCCCTTGGCCAGGAATTGAACCCGTGTCCTGCAAAGACCAACTCTCTAACCCCTGAGCACCACCAGCCAGGGCGAGTACATTGTTGTTGTTTTTTTGAGTACATTGTTTTTCAAACAATGTTTTTCCTGTTTTACTTCATTTTGAGTGTGAGCAGATGAATAAAAATGAATGCATTATCCTGAAACTGGGTCCATATAAGCTGGAAGTGGTGTGGTGGTGCCCTCAGGAAGGCCAGCTATACTTAGCTCTCCTTAAAGACGCCTGACTCATCCTCTCAGTGTGCAGAGACTGTCAGTTCCTGGCAAGTCAATTCACTCTAAATAAAATTCACAAGGACAGACACGGCAAAATCAGCACATCTCTCTTGGCAGTCAAAGTCAAGCCTTATGAGAAGTCAAATCTTAATTAAAAGCCTCATTGTCACAAAGGCCGGAAATGCACCATGTCAGCACATTCTTTCCACATGGGTAAGCCTGCGTAGGAATTAGAAAGTTATTTTGTTGTAAGAGCAGTTGGATGGATGAACTGTTTAATAGCATGGGGCTAAAATAGGAGTTGTATTGCTGATGGGCCTGTAAATACTGGGTGGGCTCCAACTCCTTATAGTCCTTATCCTACTGGTAGCCTCCATCTGAGTCTGAGAAATGCTCAAAGATCAGATAAGTAATTCTCTCTCTTCTCTAGAAAGTGAATGGGGACTATTCATATAGTTTCTTGGGACTCTTCATTTTTATGCTTTTCTGCCTCTGGCCCCTTTTCTGGCATACCCAGTATGTCTTGGGTGATGTTAATACATGTAGCCAGGTTACAGTGTTATGACTTTGTGTATCTGTGGTCTGGATTAGTTTTACAGTTGAACTCTCACAGGAAAATTATTTTCCCCACATTTCCTAGCTCCTGTCAGGATATATTTGGAGTATGTGTTTGGAAAACCTAACGCTAGCATACTATATTTCTCATCTCTTCAACCCAACTTACTTATGAATCTCTAAACTGCCGATCAAATGGATATTATTTTTTATTTTTATAAAAGTTTATTAAGTTATTTGAATAATATATGTTCTTTATAAAACATTAAAAGAAGAAAATAAAAATTAACTTGAATCTTGCCCTGGCTGGTGTTGCTGAATGCTTAGAGTGTCAGCCTATGCCCAGAAGGGTTGCAGGTTCAATTCCCAGTCAAGGATACGTACCTGGGTTGCAGGTTTGATCCATGGCTCTGGTTGGGTGAGTGCAGGAGGCAATTAATTGATGTCTCTCTCACATCAATGTTTCTCTCGCCCCCATCCTCCCTCCCTTCCACTTGCTATAAAAATCAATGAAAAAAATATCCTCTGGTGAGGAGTAACAACAACAAAAACCTCGAATCTTAACACATACTGTTATATTTGTGTTTTTTCCTATAATAACACATGTATAACAATTGAAAATTGGGGTTGTGTTATAAACAAAGATTTGTTTCTTTTACATTACAATATTATATGATGATCATTTTCTAATACAGCTAAATATTCTTTGAAGAACTGAGTTTACTGGTGGCATTTCATTGTGAACTACTGGTTAATTTTTTTTCTCCATTCCCTTCCTAAAAAGGAAGAATACTTGTTGGAAGAGATTGATTTAAATTGATTTATCACATGATAAGATCCTGAGATAGCAGGCTGGAAGAAGCAGAAAGAAAACTGCTATTTAGGCTGTGGGGCAGTTTGATCAGAGAAGTACCTTAATAGATGTGGAAAATAGAGGAAAGAGGATTTGGGGAAGCTGTTGATATAGACTATACTCTCTGACCTCCTGTAATATCTTTGAAAGATGTAAATAGTAGGCTTTTCTTTTAGTTACTTTAGTTTAACTTTTTCTTGAATGTATCATTGTCCTAAGAGTGAACCTTGTCTAGGCTTCAGTAAGAGTTTAATACATAATGCTGCAGGATTTATCCTTATGTATAAATTTTTGTTTCTCTATTTCTTTAAAATTAATTCATAAACCTTTTTTTTCTTTCTTTATTGATTAAGGTATTACATATGTGCCCTTATCCCCCCATTGCCCCTCCCTCATGCCCTCACCCCCCTGGTGTCTGTGTCCATTGTTTAGGCTTATATGCATGTATACAGGTCCTTTGGTTGATCCCTCCCTTACCCCCACCCTCCCCTACCTTCCCTCTATGGTTTGAGCATCTGATTGATGCTTCTCTGTCTCTGGATCTGTTTTTGTTCATCAGTTTATGTTGTTCATTATATTCCATAAATGAGTGAGATCATGTGATATTTATCTTTCTCTGACTGGCTTATTTCACTTAGCATAATGCTCTCCAGTTCCATCCATGCTGTTGCAAATGGTAAGAACTCCTTCTTTTTTAC